GGCGGGGCGCAGGTGGTGCCGAGGTCCTGCCGGGCTCCGGAGGCGCAGCCACCGCTGCTCCCAGAGCATCCCAGGGCAGAGCCGACCTCTTCCGGCAGTTTCACGTCTCCGCTGGCACCAGCTTGGGGACCGGCTTTTAAGAAACTGTAGTAACAGCGAGAGGGGTGCCCTGTAGTCCCACCTGGTAATTTTTCTCCCCAAAACCTGCGGGCAAACCTGTGCACATTGTAACTCGCTAACTTTAGTCTCTGGAGGATGGAGTGATAAAACCAGTTACAAGGTTAGAAAGTGTGCCGGGAGAATGGACGGGGTGAGCGAGTAAAACTTTTCTATCTCCTACCCGGGTCCTCGGTGACTGGAGGAGATGTTTGGGCTGGCTCTTCTGCTCCTGCACTTGAGAAAGGGCAGGAACTTGTAGATGGGGCCACCTGTGGTGGCCTTGGTGTGTGTTGAGATCAGCAACACGGGTTAGGCTCTGGACTGGTCCATGTTCTTGTGCTTGGTTGTTTTGGTTTTGTTTGGTTTGTTGGGATTTTTGTGTGTGTGTGTGTGTGTGTGTGTGTGTGTTTTTTTTTGTTTGTTTGTTTTTTCTTGGGATCTACTGATCACATTTGCCAGGTGAATTGATTAGCTCAATCTTCTGGATTTTATCATTTTTCATAGGCTGTCCATCTCCTGGAGCAGCTAGCTGAGTCAAGTGATCTGATAACCCAGTGATCACTGGATTTTTGTGAGAGGAGGGTGCTGCAAGATGCTCTTGTAGGAAAGGAGAGGGTGAACTCTCAGTGCCGGTTTTGTGTGGGAATAGCCTGTGTTTGGATCAGATTACACTAAGATGGAGCTGCAGCCTGAGATGAACTTGCCTGGGGAAATACTGTGCCTTTTCACTTTTGTGTTTGGAAAGGGTTTTGCTGGATAACCCTGCTTGCTGTGAGTGACTTCAAAATTCTTACCTCCCTTCGGCAAAGGGAGAGTATGCTTCTCTGTCCATGCCCCCGAAAGGCCTTTTGCCTGCACAGAGACCAAAATGTTTTGATGCCTTTCATCCCAGAGATGTTTCAGTAGGATTCTGTTTGTGCTAGGACCTGGTTTGAAGAAGATTCCAGCAAAAATGCTGGAAACCTTAAGAATCAATGTTGCTGTTTACTGAGGAAACACAGATTGGTGGAGCAGAGCACCAAGTCAGAAGCTGGGTTTCTCCATCTGGTGCAGCGGTTGAGGGTGAGGGTATGTGCTGCAGCTAAGCTGAACCTTAGTTACCTTCTTTTCTCTCTCGCTGGCACTTGTGGGATCACAGGTGAACTAAGTCACTGATCTGGCAGAAAATTATGTTTAGGGTAGCTTTTCTGCCAAGTTAACAAGTTGACCTAGTGAGCACCAGAAGTGAGGTGAATGCTGGGAGGAATCTGGACAGGGAGGTCAAGGGTGAGCAAGAGAACAGAAATTGGTAACTCGGTGCAGTGTGTATAGCTTCACTCTGACTTGCATTTTTACTCCATCCAAAGCGCTTCATTTATCTGCCACAGTTTCTTTCTTTCAAAAAGTCTGTACTCTCTCCTTTCACAATTTATTTATTTTCAGGCTTCATTTACTTCTTGTGGTGTTGCCCCCTGGGGAAGATCTTTACAGTAATTGTCTTCTCCAGAGCATTTATGTTCTAGATAGACTTATTGACCAGCTGTTTCTGGCTGTAACAGAGTTGTCCCTGAAGACAGTAGTGGTCAGTGAGGAGGGGCTGTGTTTCACTTGAGGAGAGGATGACTGCAGAGCAGAATTGCCTATTGCCAAAGCTGAAGCAGTGCAGGAAGCCAGTCTTGGATTAGCAGGGAGATGCCTGAGCAGGACTTGAGGGCAGAGGTAAAGATGCACGGGTGTCGTTGTTTAGACAGTTGTTCTGTCACCCGACAGCTCCTCCCCACCCATGGGAGGAGAATTGGGAAAAGGAAAGGAGACCCATGGGTTGAAATAGAAACAGATTTAATAAAATATTAATAATAGACTAATATTAATATAAATATTAATATATAGTACTCAACGTTATACTCAGATGATATAGTGCTTGCAACAAGTGGGGGAGTAGTCCTCAGGAGCAGAATGATAACAAGACCATCCAGGGGTAACAACCATCAAGGAAAGAAAGCCATCCCCAGCAAGCCCCACAATTTATAGCGAGCGTGATGTTTATGGTATGTTGGCCAGCTTGGGTTAGCTGCCCTGGCTTTTGCTCCTGCTATCCTCTGCACTTGTTTCTCTCAAGACCACTAAAGACTTTGATCATCACATACCATTGCTGGCTGAAAACTAAAACTAAGTATCTTATCAACCTTGTTCCCACTAAATCAAACCCTGCTGCAGTCTTTTCAGAAGTGCAACTTTCCTGAATAGAAAACTGATTCTATGATTGTATCCCAGCAAAACCAGGACAGTGGAGTAGACGGGACTGGAGCAGCAGCTACCTGCTTGTCTATAGAATTACCCAGGTTTTGAGGAGCGGGTTTGGAGCAGCAGTTCCCTGATTTAGCCAGCCATCCTCTGCAGTGTGAATCGTGTTGCCCTACTTTAAAGTCGTCTGCTGCCCTTAACACCATTCCAGAATTTAAAAAGTTGTCTGCGCCTCCTTTTCTGCTGTGCTGGTCTGTTTGTTTACACACTTGGAAAAAGTTGTCTTTGGTGAAGGCCGTGAAGCTTGAAATCTCTGGATTTGAAAAGGCCTACATACAGGGGCTGTGCTGGTGCTGTGGGATTCTGGAAGCCCAGGGGGTCTCACTTAGAGGTGTCTCAGGTGGGTTGCAGGGGAGCCAGCTGGTGTTTTGGAAATAAGTTGTCAGTGATATTGAGACTATCAGAAGCTTTTTTTTTTTTAATCTTACGTGGAATGATATCCTTCTAAAAAGTTGTTTTTTTTCAGTGGAGCTCTCTTGAATAATCACTTCTGCACTTTCCCTTTTCTGACTAATCCCTCCTACCGTTACTCCCTGTAAAACCTGTGTTTCTTGCTGCAGGAAACTCCCTGATCATCCCGATGTGTTACTCTTCTGCTAAGCACTCTCTTAGTCATGCAGTTCACTGCAACTCATCTTTCTGCTGCTGGAAGGTGTCTCTGGCTCTGCATGACTTTTTCAGCAGCTTTCCCCTCATAAGTGTTGGTGAACCCTTCATCCACTCTGCTTCTAACTCAGTTCCTCCTGAAAGCAGATACCAGCTTCCAGACTAATACTCAAATTATGATCTGTTAAGGACAAGCAGTAACTGGAAGTCTATGTGATCAGGGAAAGAAAGAAGCAGTTGAGAGCTGGAGGCTAAACTGGGAGAAGGAAGGACTGAGTTGGTATATCTGCAGTAGGGCAGCAGAGTTGTGGGATAATTATACCTCTTGTGGGACTGGAGGAAGAGACGATCAGCAGTTGCCGAAGTGCAGTGGGAGGCGGGAAGCACAGTGCAGTTCGCCTCAGTTCAGTAGCCTTGAAAGAGAGGTGATCAGGTCTTGTAACCGAATGGTTGTCTGAATGAGCTGCAGCTGCTACTTCACTCTCCTGCCTTTTTAAGAATTTAGGATATTGTAGCTTCCACTGTAGCATGGCAATAAAAATATGAGACTGTGCGTGTTACATTCCTGGCTGTGGTAATAAAAGATTTGAACTGTGGCTATAATTTCTGAGTGATTTCAGACCCCCGGCATCTCCGGTCTCCTGTGATGTAGCAAATCTGTGCAAGGAGCCTGGCACAGGGATATTCCAGTAAAAAAAAAGCTGTGTGGTGCAGTGAAATACAGTTTGATTGTTTCTCTAGCCTGACTTAGTTTCCAATTCTCTCGATGTAGATCTGGAGTCCGTCTCAGCCTGAGCTCCTGGGATCCTGTCACCATGGAGACCGAAAGTGAGCAGAACTCTGGCTCCACCAGCGGGAGCTCCAGTTCTGGAGGAAGCACCCGTCCTCAGATATCGCAGATGTCTCTCTATGAGCGACAGGCAGTACAGGTGAGACTAGGTTGTGTTCTGGGCTGGGATGTGCATTGGTGGAAGGTGGTGGAGAGCCCTTTCGTATTCCTCTGAGTTGTGTCAAGGTGGGAGCATGCTTGAAGGACTGTCATGTGTTCAGATTTAGAAATTCTTGTGCTAGACCCAGTCTTTAGTTCCTGTAGCCTGATACTGTGCTTTATGTTTTATAGGTTACTCCTCCAGCATCCAGCCTCTTAAATGTAATCCATACTGTGATGCAATAGATTGATTTTAGCCTGCCGTTCGAGACCAAGTCCTTCAGTTTAACATCCCAGTTCCTCTACATAGTATATATCCTCCATATATATGCTGCATTCGAACACTTGTCTGCCTGCTTGAGCTCATGTATTCCCAAATTCCTGGAGTTTCATAAAGTCTTAGAAGTGTGCTTCCTGCTACCCTGGAATACACCTGTGATTCAGTCTGTTACCAAATTTGTAGCTGTTACCAAATTGTAGCAAAATGTATTTTGATGTGCTAATCTCGTGGGTTTTCTTTTTTTCATGGGATCTAGGGATGGTCTCATGGCTGTTACTTCTTTGCTCTCTCTCTAATCACATTCCAAGGGCATGCTATTTTTGACAATTGGGTTTTCCTCTTTCC